GGGGTCCTCCCCAGGAAAATGTTGAATAAAGTAGATGCCATTTCCTACATTCTGATGTCTGGTGTATTTTATCAGGTAAAGTAAACACTTGATTCAATAACTATTTTAGAGAGCAACAAGAAATAGCCTGACCAACAGCTCTCCTTGTGTGAACAGAGCATGCTCTGCTTCTCTCAAGCATCCCGCCCTCTGTTGAGTACTACCTCCATTGTCACTGTCTTCATGTGCTTCAATTCTCAGTTGCTTAATTGTACATCGTACAACTGTATCAACTGTGCAACAATGTACAGTGATGGCTGGACAAGGGCACCGGAGACCCCCGCGACCCAAAATGGAAGAAGCGGGTAAAAGATAATGGATGGATGGATGGATGGATGGATGGATGGATGGATGGATGGATGGATGGATGCATGGATGGATGGATGGTAAATTGGGTTGTCTTTTTGACATTTTGATCGCTGTTATTTTGACAAATTAGCGTCATTGTTTTGATACATGATGTACGTAACATGATTACCCATCAAACGTTTCTCTTGTATTTTTAATTAAAAAATCTAAATTTTATTAATGACCCACTTAAACTGTAAAACTGATTTGCAATTTAATGATGCTGTTAATTATATTTTTGTGTTTTTAATTAAATTGCCCATGACTGTAATTTTAGGGGTGGAGATTTGTTCAAGGGTAGAAGTGGAAATACTTACTTGAAGCGGCCGCTCTGATGTGACATTAGGAAGATCACAAGTGGCTGTTATGTTTAAAATTAGTGTTTATGCCATTATTTTCAGATTACATGTCTAATATAGGTTTAATTTGTTCAAGGCAGTCAAATTTGTTCATAACTTTATTATTAGTAAGCCTGAGAGTTACTGGATCCAAGCAAACCATTACTGGAACGCACCCTGTCAAAATAAGAGAGTTTCTGGATCCTGTTCCGGCAGGATCCGGCTCAAATTAAGCCGCGGTGTAGACAACAAAATATTGACTTAGAAGCTGCATTATTGTTATCCTTTAAACGAATTTTGATTAAAAAAGGCAGTTTTGAAATAAGTCTAAAACTTAAAGTGCACATAAGTCACCATTATTTACTTGAGCTGAACAACTGCACGTTTAAAACAGGCTGACACCTGAACTCAGACTGCTGTTAGGAATCAGTAAAATATTCACACGTTTCTTTATAAAATGAGCTTCGTTTCTCCGTGTTTAAAGTTAAACAAATCAGTTTTATTTTCTTGAGCAAAATTCATCACTCACAGTAACTCTAGTTTAAAATCTAGTACATGCAGTCCAGTTTAGTCTTATTCATGTCAGTAACAAAACGCTCTTTACATCAGTACACACCAACATGGCTCCTCACTTAGTAGTTTTTCTTTCCCATGGCTGGACTTCCATCTAGTTGGTTAAAAGTCACTGGTTGACTACGTCTTAAAATAATGTGAGTTATAAAGTAAGCTGCTGATTTGTGTGAAGTGGCCTTGATGTGGAGTATTGTGCGTAAAGTATGGATCAGACATTTAACCGTTCTAACTCCTGCAGCGAGCTGAACACACGCCTGTCATCACTGCACCACAGCGTCGACCGCCAGTCACACACTGCTGCTCACAGCACCAACCAGTAATATTCACAAGTGCAACCATTACTCCAGGAAACCCCATTTAATTATTACGGGCTAGACTGAAGTACAATATTACTTTGAAAGAGTTAAAGTGTGTATTTTAGTATTTGGATGTGAGTTAGATGAACAAGGTGACAGCTGGTGGGGGTTGAGTACGCTAAGGTCTGTAAGATACTACACACACACACATGCACGTGCGCACATGCACACACACACTCACACTCACATTTCGTTATAATGTCAGGTGACAGGAACGTTGAGTAAAAATATTCATTTCGACCATCATAACGCACAGACGATATAAACATTCATACTAACGTATCGTACAAAAACAGATTACCAATAATGCTTTTTCTAATATTGTTTATTCTGAAAGTTTGTCTGTTTCAACAGTTTCCTGCAGGATCAATAAGTTCTATCTTGTCTTTTTTATTCAGACATGCTGATCCCCACACTTGGTTGGTCTTCATTAGAAAAAATGCTGTTGTCTAATTTGATTATATAAGTCTTTGATGGAGACCAGCACCCACACAGCCAAACCCATCCCTTGCTCACGTCTCTTGGACTCACCCTTTCAGATTTCAGTGTGAACCATGAGACTTCCATAAGAGTTCCAGACACGAAATGATTGAAGTTATTGACTGCAGTGAGTTAATGAATGTGCTGCATTGGTGTGACAGCACCAGAACCAGGCTGAACTCTTAATGAGCCTCCTGGTGATGTGCTTCTCTCCCACACACAGGTCATTTCTGACATGCCAGCATCTATTATTGAACACCAACGCTGCTTCACTACTGTTGGTGTGTTTTCCATCACCATGTGAGCACGTTGTCCAAATATGATATTGGAAGAAGAATCTCAGATCGCTCAGTTGATGTACTGCCTGATTTGAAATGAATGTTAATGTAAGAACTGTTGCTCTCCATCACTGTCACAAGCTCAAAGACTGCAGAGACACACGAAGCCACCTGAAGTCCAGTTACCTTGTTTCCAGAGGCACATTGCTACCTAGCACCCAGCTGTCCTGCAGCGGGACGCTCTCGGGGGGTGTGGTTTGCAGCTCGGCTGGTGATTGGCCGGCCACAGGGGCCGGGCTTCCAGAGGGAGGAGTTAATTGCCGCGATGAGTTCAGGGTCTGTCCAGCGTGGTGCGTGGAGCCCAGGGCGTGGTTGAGAGCCGTTACTGAGGGGTGCTGACGGTGAGGCGGGGGCACAGGAGGCAGGCTGGGGCCATGGTGATTGGATGATTGTTCTGTCAACAGCACAAAAGATTGATTTAGGACTGCTGGATGACAAAAATACAGCAACACCAACTGAAAACTTTCCTTTATGTTTGATGAGGAACAACATGAAAAAAATGAATACATTAATTTTAAAAAGCAATTTAAGGTCTTAAACTAAGTGCCATCCACTAAAGATTAAAGAATAACCTCACTTTACCTTTAATATCATCATAATTATGACAATGATTCAAATAAAATGTTCCAACAATGACATACTATAAAAACGACAACGATCACGTTTCCAGAATCATTTGACCCAGATCACTGAGGGTCCAGCTACACAGAGAGGATTATTTTTTAACTTGTCATTTTTTTTCCACATTTACAGCCACAAATTCCAGAAAAAAATGGTCCGTAGTGTAAAATGAAAAAAAAAAGAAAGAAATGACATATATATATATATACATATATAAATATATAT